TGTTGAAAAAGTTTGAGGACCCCTGGGTTAGGGTAAGGCTTAGGGTTTTACCATTAAAGAATGCTTACATTCCTTCTATATCTGTGTTCCGTTCTGCGTTCCGCAAACATTGCTCCCAAAGGAGCAAAGTGGAAAGAGCGTAAGGCTCAGTACTTCCAGACTCAGCTTTCATACAGGGCTTCCCAGTTCTCAGTGTCTATGCCAGAGTTTTTAAGGTTGGCTTTGAGCCCATCTTTAAATCTCTTTTCCTGTCCTCCAACATTCCGTTTTCCATTCTTGAATTCGGAGTAGAGCAACTGCTTTGGGAGATGGTGTTCGGGCATCTGGACAAGGTTGCCGGTCCAGTGGAGTTGATGACGGAGGACCATCGCTTCAGTGCTGTTTTTCTTTGCTCCTTCCAGCACACTGACATTTGTCAGCTTGTCTTTCCAAGAGATTTGCAGGATTTTCTGAAGGCAGCGCTGATGGAATCGTTCCAGGAGTTGCATTTGACGTTTGTAGGCAGTCCACGTCTCACAGGCATATAGCAGGGTTGGGAGGACAATAGCTTGGTATCCCTACGGATTTTCCTGTCCTCAAACACTCTCTGCTTCATTTGAAAGAATGCTGTACTTGCAGAGCTTAGGTGGTGTTGTATTTCGGTGTCAATGTTGACTTTTGTGGAGAGGTGGCTGCCAAGGTAGCTGAAATGGTCAACATTTTCTAATGTTACACGAATAAGCTGTATTTTTGGCATTCCATACAGATTGGCTTCTGCCTGCTGGAAGAGCACTATGGTTTTCTCGATGCTCAATTACAGGCTGAACTTCTCGTATGCTTCTGTGAAGGTGTTTAGAGTAGCTTGTAGGTCTGGAAACTGATTATATGTCAATGTGGACTCAGGGCCTTTCCAAAGAGGACCTATATTCCAGGATCTGATGCTAGATTATCTGTTTGTTCCAGATTATCTGGCAGTGTGAACTCATATAATCTAGTTTAAAGCAGAAAATCTGAAATATAGAGCCTGTCCGGAAGGGCCCAAAGGCTCCTTCCGCACAGCTGAATAAAGTACACACTGAACTGGATTATCTGGCAGTATGGACTCAGATAATCCATTTCAAAACAGATATTGTGGATTATCTGCGTTGATATAATGGCTTAAATGGCTGTGTGGAAGGGCCCTTAATGAAACCTAATTCCTACACATCTCCTGATAAGCTCTACGGGTCCTTCACACAGCCATATAACCCATAATATCAAGGCAGATAATCCACAATAACTGTTTTGAATAAACATAAACATAGTAATGATATTAATATAAATAACATTGAACATAAAGTCTATCCCATTTATCTCCCTTCCTCTGCTTTTTGCAGCACCTTGCCTGCTTAAGAAATCTAAAGAGCTTGGTGGCTTGCACACACTTTTACAGGTTGTAGGGTTAGGTTACCTAATAAAACTAGACACTCCCCAAGTTACAAACGTCTGATTTACAAATGACTTATAGATACAAATGTGGATGAGACAAGAGTAAATGAGATAAATCCATCCCAGAAGGGAAATTCACTCCTGAAAGAGTTATCATGGGGAAAAGGGGTCTCCACTGAAGCTTTCTCGCCAATCCTTGTTTTCACAAGGTCATAGATTTTCTTTAAGTCAATAGTCCACATTTTTTGTTTTTCTAATTCTTTAGTGTGTCTGATTTTTGAGCCCACTTAATCACACATTCCTTCATCAATTCTGGTTCCATTTCCATCTTCAGTGATACTTTATACAATCCAATAAGGGCTCCTCCACACAGCTCTATATCCCAGAATATCAAGGCAGAAAATCCCACGTTAGCTGAGTGTGGAAACAGGAATTCCAAGGGGTGAGGATCCAAACCAGCTCTCCTCCTGGGAAATAAGGAAAGGGAGCAAGAAAATTGAATAGCTGTCAACTGTATAAAATTTTGTCTCTCTTTATTAATGTTATGCATGTATTTTTGGCATTAGTTTTACACATGGCTGGATTGCGAATAAACCTCTGTTGCTGCTTTCAACCTTCTTGAGTGTGCTTTCAATTGGGAAAATCTGGTTTACCATAATGCTTGCTGGGCAGGACTCTTAATAACCACAGTCGACCTCATCAGGACTGCAATAT